GCCGGTTTCTCAAAATCGTTTTTGCAGGCAGTTAGAGGTTGTCTGTTACTTCAAGGACGAAAAATACCGTAACAGCATTGCCGGCAGTTTCACCACCACTCATCACGAGCTTCGAACTGCTCAAGAACCATTCACGGTAAGTGATCTGCTTTTCTTTGTTGATTTATTGGTACATTTCTATCCTTTCAGTTAACAAATCCTCTGTTCAAAGGACGTCAGAAGGTTTGCGCTCAGTTCGACGTACTCAAACGCACCGAACTAACTATCTGCTCTTTCCTAGATTACATAAGCTTTGGGTGAGTTTTGTACCGAACAGTGGTCAAAGCAGTGGAAGCTTTCGGTTCTATTACTTTTGAATTCATAAACGTTGAATTGAGCTATATCTCCCAGTTTCGCTGATTTCCATGAACCGAAACTGCGAAACTGCCCACAAAATCGGACAGTCATGCACACTAGTCGTGCCAACAACATTTCCTACAACTGGACGTTCATGGTTGGGAGAAAAACAATAACTCCTTTCTCTGTGATTCACTCAAACAGACACCTCTTTGGGAGCGCTTTCTTCTTTCATTATGGGGGCTGGGTCGGACCTTCAGTTGTGTACTTATTGCCCATTCATCTTTCCTTATCGTCTACAAAAAGGGAAACAAATTGAGGTGAGGTGCACTAGTGAGCAATACACTGCTGGACCTGCGAGAAATATTACTTAAAACGTAGACCATCATCTACAACCATCCAGGTGGGACAGACTTCTTGAGTAGTTCACAAATGCTCAAGAGTAAGATCATTTAAAGAAACGGTCCGCGATCAGGTATCGAAGTTGAAAATATGGTGTGGGGAGGGTAGTGCGGTCCGCGACGAACAACCCTGTACCGTTTTCGCGGAAAAAAAAGTGCAGGGGAAGGGGCACTATAAGGCAGCATACAGATCCAGTGGTTCCTCCTTTTTTCCAGTGACTCCGCCTCCCAAGCGCCGCCCTTTAGTGAGAAACCAAGTTTTCGGACGAGAAAAGCATGAACATTTGAGCCCTTCGTTATTTGTACGGACGTAGGGTTGTATTGGGTCAGCTGAGCGCACAAAGGGGTACAACTGGAAATGTATTGCAAAAAGTATGTATTGCAAAGTGCACGAAAAGTTGGAGGAAAATAGCATCATTTTGAAATTTGAAAAGCAAAACAAACTTCAAAACAACAAAGAAACATTATGATGCGATGAGTTCAGTGAAAAAATAAGAATATTAAAGTAGCTCTTTCATAGCTGGGCCACCCCCTAACTGTCTGGCAGGAGCGCAATAAGTGGAACGCTCGTCATAAGCCATAGCGCTTGTATTCCCATCGCACTGGCACTTACAAATCAGGCTCATCAATGTGTCCCTTATTTAGACGAACCTTGTCATGTATTTTTTCTGGCTTTTTTTTCTTCACTACGAGTTTACGAGCTTGTCCTTTTTATGGCGGACCCAATTCACTATATAAGCTGGCAACTGATCGCGGCCTTGCCTTTAGAGTTTTGTTGCTCTCCCGAAATTCGAGCGTTTGAAGAGTATTCGGCCACTAAGGTCTTCGCAGCATGTTAAAGTGCGGTCAACGAGGCCAATAAAAGCTTGCCATTCATCTGAATGTCAATGCCAGGCGCTTTGTGGAAGAGCATATATGACTATAATATACCACTGTTCAATTTGACCCCTGCTAATTTGTGCGCATTCAACTTTCGATACGGATATTTGGGCGATTCGAATTTGCAGCTGAGCGAATTCGCCCTAGTGGCATGGCACACCTCCTTGATCATTTCCTGAAAAAGTACCGACTCCCCCTAATTCTATTCCTGAAATAGGACTTCCCATGCTACCTAACCACCTTTCACTTTCCTGGATTTTCCCACCACTTTTTCCTTTTTTTCCTGAAAAATTTCCAGTTTTTTAGCTTTCAGCCAAGAACTTTCCGTCGAGCGGGGGTGAGGGGATCGTCAGGATCAGCTATAACATCTTTCAGCTATCGCAGATGAGCATTGCATGATTCTTTGACATCCTTTCGTTAAAAATCGGCCAATACGATCCCCCATCCTTTAGCCCAACCGTACGAATTAGAGAACCAACACAAAAACAATTTCCTCAACCAAATACCTTCTCGGCGAAATCAACATACGTCCCTCGTTATGATGGCGTGCATGCCCGCGTCTAGTGGCTGGTTTAGGTCATAGCCGCGTTCACTCTTTATCCCTGGGACGGAGTAGGCGTGGCATCTGAACATAGCGTAGTACAGGATACTCGTGCGACAATTGTCATCTTGTTCTATATTGGACAAAGACATGATCACATTTGTCTCAAAATGAAAATACCTCACCGACGAGCCCAAAAAGCCACGCTCTAGTTGAAAGTACACTCGCCCGCACTATCGCATCACACAGGATTTTGTATGATGGTATGTAAGGCGTGCTAGCGTAGCTAACCAATTTCGCTAACAGCTCATTCGGCGTCGAGGGCTTAACCATGGAAAAATAGGACAAAAGCTGCTGTTGTGACCGCGAGTTTGTCGTTGTTATGCAACCTTGCAAATAAATGGGGCTTACAAAATAAAATAAGAGTTTTCCCTCGGCAGCTTCAGGAGGTGGCAATATGTTATTCGAAAGCAATGCCTTCACGGTTATCTAAGTGCCGGTAACCCTCTGCACGGGGGAAAGGTAACCTTCTGCCCAACTGTCCTTAATGATATATGGGTCGCTGGTCTAATATTCAATACTTACTTTCATTTTTCCTCATTGTCCCATTTTCTTACAGTACAGCTCAGCCTATGAACATCAGCTTCGGAAGATCTCTGTGATTTTGTGAAGGCTCGTAGCCACTTATGCCATTACAGTACCACTCTGCATTTCGCATTCGCAATCGACTTCTCAGACGCCGATGGCGGACAAGACCACGAATCGCAGCTGAACTTCACCGACAACGTCGAGTTCGCGATTCGATCTGTAGGGGACACATTTGCTGATTATAATCGGTATTTTGTAAAACACAATTTACATAACTGTATGTGTCTTACTTTGTTATATTTTTGTTTCAGGACAAACTCTTACAGTGCGTACGGTTTCGGAGCGCGAATACCACCCCTATATCGAGAGTCGCACGAGTTTTGTCTGGTTGGTTAACTGATGCGACTTTGAAATCGACGTCTTGTTTACTGCGGATAATGGGGCGTATAAGGGGAGCTGGGTTTGGCGCAAAGCCAGACTGCTTTCCACCAATTGCTGTCAATTGCCCGCTTCAACAACTGGTGGAAAACTGACTGACGCCGAGCCGAACCCAGCCTCACTAAGACGCCCCACCATCGCTGCAAACAAGGCTGCACCTACTTTCTTGAGATAGCATCCGGCTCAACCATCTCGTTACAGAATCTCGAAACTGATCCAACTTGTACTGGCGTTGACGGGGTGGTGACAGCATTCCGAAGCACTTATATGCAGGCACAACCGTGCACTAGTGCACAGTTCTCCCATGTGATTTACCATGTTGCCAAGTAAGAAAGCCCACCAACGGTCGCGTTCGAATGTCACAGTCGATCTTGGAAAGAAAGCTTTTCCAGGACTGCTCAACTCCAGGCAGCTCGATCAGAGCAAACGCGACCACAGTACCATATTTTGAATATCATTACCCGAGGAGCCATTGATGACATCAAAGAGACGGTCCAAGCTGCAATCTTCTCCAGCAAGACACCCATATCAGTAATATTCACAGGTAGCTGAATTTTCGAAGGAAGCACCAGGAAGACTCACATCCAACTTTTGATCTCCAGCTTTGAATAAATTCTGGAACCACTTCAGGCATTGGTGATCGAAACCTAGACGAAATAGAACGACTTGGTGAAGGTGGTAAACGACTGATCTTTCAAGGACGGAAAACGGATCGCGACAATTTGCACGTGAGTATTCTGTAAGAAAAAGTTCACATAATTGTTATGTTGTGTTTGAGTAAGAGGGCAGGGGATAGCCTGTGTTTTCCCTGGTGGGGTGCGAACAGTTCCAGGCAGTTTGGAGAATCCCAGGAGGGTTTGGTGAGCTAGGGGATGCATTGTCAAAAAGAAATATCTTGTCCGATGAACAGCTAACCGTAACTATCACAAACCGGTTTAGTTACTCAGGGTCACGGTACCTTTGTCCACCCTATATCTCCTCTAGCACTTCGTTTGATGTCCACAATATGGTCCCTTGGCGAGGCAACTTCGCGTGTGTGATCCGAATCTGCGAAAAAGGGGAGGGGGTGGTTCCAACGACGACTAATTCACAGTGACTGCTATTCACCTTTAGACTGGCTCGCTGCGGATGAAGAGGCTTGTCCTGCGGGATGGGTTTGCACAATGTTAAGTAGTTTTTTACCAGTTGTTGAGGCGGGTAAGCTACAACAGTTGGTTGAGACGACTGCTACGAGCAGTATGATACAGTCTTTTCGCTTGTTCCCATCAACAATGCAGGGGAAAACGGGTTCCGCCAAATTGATCCCGCGTGACACGCCCCTTCATACGGAGCGAACCAGACTGTAACAGCGACATGTCACTTATGCATTGTAGGGCGTTCAGAAAGAGAGGCCTACCCGCCCCTATTCGGGAGAGCTGGCGAGGAAAGAGAAGGGTGTCGTACTGGCACATTTCCAATGTGCCGTTTATGTGCGTTGGCGAAAGAACCTCTGGCTATTCATCGACCGCTAGTTTTTCCGAGATGTTCAAAAAGAAAAGGACAAGGCTCTTGCCTTTCTCCTAAGCTTGACTCACCATCTGGGATGCTGCATGCGTTCCACTTTCATATGGGATAGTAGTGATCTTTTCAATGCAACTTGGCCTACTGACTTTAGGACCCGTCGATGTTCATGTCAGTGTTTAATCCTCTCAATAGGTCTGATCCTGAGCCAGCGATCCCGTAGGGAGGAAGGCGTATGTGGCCTGGACACTAGCCAGTGCGGAAGTTGAACCCCGGACAGCGATGTGGTAAGGTGCCTTTGCCGCTAAACGACCCCCTCTCCTTTATCCTCTCCAAAATATTATCGGTAATAAAAAATGAATCCATCTGATCTCCTTACTAAACTTTATCTTTCGTTGTAGTATGTGAACATGACGGCGAGTCTTCTTTGAAAAGTTGAGGGTCAGCAGAAATGAGTCGAAGTTGTCGCTCTCGGAAAAGTCACTCTATCAAATTCCACGACAAATTGCAACCTATTTCACAAAAAATGGGATTTTGCCAATAGACAGACATGGCGCTTCTGCTGTAAGTATTTTTTACCTCAAAATAGCTCGTCAATTCATCGCGTTGACGTTTTCATGTTGTTGTCAGTTTTAGATAGAAAATTCTGTGGAAACAGTCTATCGATCGTCACCAGCTCCAGAAGTTGAGGAAACTGACAGCTTCGGACGAGATATAGACCACAGTAAGTATATACCACCGTAGCTTGTGTAATAAACAAAGGACCTATTTATCCTTCACTGCCATTTTCGAAAACTCTGACAGAAATTTTTTTGCTAAGGGATGTATGGCCAAAATCCGCTCCCAGTAGTTCGACCCTTTGAACAGTGATGTCTTGTCCATTCTTAAATGTCACCTGTTTTAGGTTCTCCTGAAATACCGGCAACACCGGTTCCGTCCTACTTACAAGAAAACTATGAAAATGTTCGAAGGTATACTCGTACGCTATTCTAACGCTTTATACTCGGCGCTGTTCAAATCTAACTGTGATATGTATTGGGTTGGCCGGAAAATCCTTGCCGATTCAAAGGGTAGGTTGGCAAGAAGTATTTCTAAGGAAGCAAATCGGTTCACTGGATAGTGAAATATGATAGTTTATGATATATTTTCCATTTTGTTCACAGAAGGATATCCTTTTCGAACATTGAAGTGCACCTCTGCCATTTCTCTGAAAAAAAATGTTGGCAGAGCTTTCTCGTGGGGCAGCTCGACGACGGCGGAGGAGGGGCATTTTGCACTTTTGCCACATCCCATCGACGTCCCTTCTAGAGAGCCATTTCGTGAGCTTACAAGAATCAATAGGTTCTACCATGGTAGCCGAAAGAGCTCGCCTCAGATTCACAAGAAATGGTGAGACTTGTAAACCGGAAGTGAAGTGAAGCAGCAAAAGTTAAAAATGCCCCCCCCCCACCGGTCGCCGAACTGCGCTTCGACTGTAAGCAAACACATTTTAATACTTGCTGATTTGAAGTAATGCAATTACGTTAGAATCTGGGTCGTTTCAGAAAATATATAGCTTGAAGAGAGTGTCGATAGCCAACTTATAAAACAACTGTTTTATTCAAAGCATTCACCAGACAGCAATTCCTTTCGGACAAAACCCAACGTTAGGTGGATGGTGGAAAGTCTCCTGTATATACTTTAAATGTTTTCGAACAATCTATCTACCTTATGCGTCCGTCTCCAACTCACGGAATAGCCACCACCCGTCCTCAGCCTAACGCGGTTCCGACCCTACATGCGCGCACTCACTCAGGTTGTTTAACCATGGTCGTATGTGACAGGTAGATACCCGCGGCGCACATGTCGCGCGCACTTGCAAATTACCGCCGTGGTTACAACCGGGCGCGACGCTGCGCCGCTATTCGCGACAGTGACTTTCGTGTTCAACAGGAGGCGTATGCTGTCCAGAACGGATTCTGTGAGTCAAATGATGCGGGAATCAGCAGGGAGCTAAACTGACTCGCGAGCAAAATCTCTGCATGTTTCACTGCACCACATTTGCTATTTAATCACTCTAGTTATGCGAACAAAACAAAACCTCACAGTCACCGGCACCATCCAAGTCCCTACCAGGCTAAATAGCCATTGGCCGCTTAGAAACTGAAGCGAACACAATCTAAGTCAATAGCGCAATGATCGCGAGCGCGCTCTCCATTGCATGCCCTCGGTGTTTTCAAATTGCCGCATACGAGACATCGCGCGGTCCTAAAGACCGTCTCCAGTTGTAAAATCGCAATTAGTCGGAGGCAGTGTGACGAGGGTGGGATGATCCCCCTTCCAGCTGCTTTGCTCTAACAATGGTGATCGGCTAGTGGCTAGTTTTGGAAGCAGGCAGTCAACCAGTGGTGGCAGGGCCGCAGGTGAGGCCAGACCATTCTTCTGGAAATCGACCCAACTGATTGCGATGATACCAAATGTATGTACATCGCTAAACTAGTCCTTCTCCGCAGCTGCAGTAGCTTGCCACCTTCTCCGGTCAACTGAGCCCAACAACGGGGCTGGAGAATGATACCGAGGTGCTGTCTCCATAATCCCTCCCGCGCTACAGCACAGCCAGCTATACGCCTAGCCATAGCTAGACGCGCTATTTGTCTGCGCTCTCTCACTTTTGTGGCTGTTCTCTACCACTGAGCACATTTTTCGTCTGAGGACCTTGGTGCCGACGCAACTGCCGCACCTTTGGGACGGCGCGGACGGAGTAAGAGACGGCACTGGTACCACTACCTTACATCCCCGTTCCCGTGCACTTTTGAGGGAAGAATGTGGCGTGGCACTGCAGCACCGGACCGGTTCATCTCACAGAGGGTAAGGACCAGCCTCAGTGGTGAGTGTGCAGTTTATCGTCATATGCTGGAAGAAATGGCTGTCAGAGTAAGCGCAGTTTGCCGACGGGAGGCATTTTGCACCTTCGTTGCTTCACTAGTTCTGGTTTACAAGTCTCACTCTGGTGAAACCTGTGAACTCTTGTGAAGCTGGAGCAAGCTCGTCAAGCCATCATGGTAAAACCTGTCAACTCGAGAAGAGGCTGTCTAGATGGGTCGACACGTCGAT